GATTAGAGATGTAAGTGGCTATTGCCCAGGCAGTCTGCAAGCCAGGGAGTCCTACCCAATAGGGCACTCGTCCTCCGGGTTGGCTGCTGGACCACAAAACACAGGGCCCATCTCACATAATTCAGGCCATTGGGAGTGGCACAAAACAGTCTTTCCTTGGGCTATAGGAGAGGCCTAGCATTGTCCTTTGCAAACTCCAGGCAAAACCGCCTTCCCACTGCCTCTCCCAATAGTCTGGGGTTGGGTCTGCACAGGAAGGTCACTGAGCTCATCTTAGCCATCACACCCGTTATTCTCCCTCCTGGCTGTGAGGCCACGACAGCAGCTCCTCCCCCGGCCGAGGTGTGTGTGGGGTGGTTGCATTCTCCTTTGCTTTGCAAGGTTTCTGGGGGATTGGGTGCGAGGGAGAGGGGCCAGATGACCAGCCCTGGAGACTCACATCTGTTTTCTCACCAAATAGATACAGCACAGGCCACCCCCAGGGTAAGTTCCCCCTGTGCTAACATACCTCAGCCCTGAGCCACATGGCTCACCTGTGTGGCCAGGCTCTTCTAGTTCTTAGCCTGCTTGCCCAGATGGGGACAAGAGGGAGGGGCGGTGGAATGGGGGGAGAAGGGGTGGCCAGTTTCTAGCCCCTTCTCTGCCAGCCAGAGGGCAGCTGTTTTACACACACTGACTTTCCCAAAACGCAAGATGTCCAGAGAAGCCATTTCATCCCCTTCACTCAGTGGACATGGCTTGATGGGGCACAGCAGCAGTAAAATAGAGACCTAACATGGAAATCGTTCACTAGCACACAGGGCTTCAGCGGGAAGACGACTCGGGAAGGGGGCCATGTCCTCCCCACTGTGGGCTCCCTCAGGTGGGCTAGGAAAATAGATGCAACAAACACAGCTGCAGGGAGAGGGGGGCAGGTGCTGAACCAGCACACTCCAGGTAGGGATGCAAAAGGTTAACCAGTTACCCAGTGTCTGCGTCGATGGCCAACTGCGCCATGGCTGCTGGGTGTGCATCGTGCTGGCAGGCTGCACCCTGGCCGCACCCGAGCAGCCTGGATGAACAGGTGGGACTCCAGTCCCAGCTGTGTTGGGCCAGCAGGACCCTGCCCCTGGACATGCTGGAGAGGTTGGCAGAACCTCATCCCCTAGTTGTGGTTGGCCAGCAGGTAGGATGCCGGCTGTCCCCTGCCGGTCTGCCAATGTTTAACCAGTTACCCAGTATAATTTGAATTGTTTAATCAGTTAACTATTGTAGTGGTTATTTACCACTCAAGCTGCCCATCCTGCTGGAAGCCCAGAGAGGCGAGCAGTGCAAACTGGAATCCCTCCAATGCTGCTTCCCCATGCAGGGGTGAACTAAGCTCAGACTCTCTCTCGCTTTGGGTTCGGATGGACAGTGGATGGACAATGTGGATTGAGGGGGAGCTGGGTCCCAGGAGATGCCCAGGGGACGGGTAGGTTTGCAAGAGGCCCTTTCACAAGGCTCTGTAGCAGGAAGGGGAGGGACGGGACTAGAGGGACATGCATTCCCAGCAGCACATCCCAGTATCTGAAATGATGGGAAAGGAGGGCATTGTTTCTGGAGCATCATGTCCAGACAACGCCAAGCTGCTGCCGGCGGCAGCAATGGAAAATCTCGGCGCCATCCAACTCAGCCCGGAAGGTGACGTCAGAAAGATGAGCTGCTGGAAGACTGATGGGAGCAGCTGAGCAACCCGCCAGCTTGCAGGGGTCGTTTCCAGGAGCAGCCAGGCTGCGGCAGGAGGTGAGGCAGTGGCCAGGGCTACTGACCCACCCTGAGACTGACGCTTGTCCACAAACATCAGCTAAGCCCTAGCCCCTCTGGCAAGGATCAGCTCATGCAGGAACAACCCAGAACAAAGTAGCTGGTCCCCTGGGGACTGGACAGGGCGAGATGAACAGCCCCTGGGGCAGGACGCCTGTGTCACCATCACCTCCTTGGAAACTTCCTGGAACGATGCTGTTGTGCGGCTTTTGGAAAAGCTGGCTTTTGCCTGGCTTCTGTCATTGTCCCCCTCACTCCCCACTGATGTACTTCAAAACACTGAACAGCTTTACAGCTGTTGGCTGAGAATTGGCTCATTTCCAGGGCTTGAGGATGACCGGCAGTGCCTGGGAAGATTTCTGCCTGCTGGGAGGTGGAGCCCAGAGAGGCCTCTTCAGAGGAGGAATTCCAGAATCCTCCTCCCCCTATCTCCCTTAGCTCAAACCCACAACATGACATTTAGTAGCCCATTATGAAGAGGGGGAGGAGGGGAAATGCAGCATGTGAACAGGACATACATAGGAGGTATATAAACAGCTGCACCAGACAGGAGGTAGGATTACTGGGCAGGAGCAGCAGGCAGGTGGCCTAAGTCTTGGGTGAGAAACAACTTCAGGTGCTTTGTGGCTGGAGATGGTTTTGTCGTAGATCATTTTTGGGGCAGGAGAGAGAGCGCCCGGCCTTCCAGCGCTCAGAGCTCTGGAGCTCTAATTCGGCACTCTAAGGATCAACATCACCAAGTTAGTGTCACCCACGCTGACTGCTCGGCGTGGTGGAAGGCTCAACATGGTCTCTTCACTGTGAATTTAATTAGAAGCTGGTTCCTTTGCAAGGTGCTGGCAGGAGTGACTCCCTTGTGCATGTCATGCTTCTGTAGGATGTCACCTCCTGATGGAGCCTCATTAAGGGCCTTCTCCACCAAAGCCATAACAGCAATGAAAATGGGCAGAGAGAAGTTTTCCTGCTTCAAACACACACATCAAGCATGACTCTATGGATCCTCTCACCTCTGGCTGTGTTCAAATGTAATAAAAGTTTCCCACAATCTGTTTTCCTTGTCATAACTGTACAGTTAGAAGTGTGGGGGAAGAGTTGTAGCTCTCCACATTCAGGTGGAAGAGAGAACTTTTGGTATTGCCCTGGGATTAGACAGTCAAAAAGTCTGATCCAGGAGAGATGTTTAATTCTGCAGAAGGGTGTGTCTGGAGACATGGACCCTTTTTCTTGCCATCTTACAACATGCATCCAGCTCACAACATTTTAGAAAGAGAGGCCCTCCCCATGTTGCAGCAGAAACTCACATGGAAGGCAACAAGAATTACACACACACACCATGGCTACGTCTACACTGGCCCCTTTTTTGGAAGGGGCATGCTAATTTTGAAAGTGGGAATAGGGAAATCCACGGAGGATTTAAATATCCCCCACGGATTTAAATAAACATGTCCGCCGCTTTTTTTCCGGCTTCGAAGTAGGAATAAGAGATCCTCCGGAAAAGGGCTTTATTCAGGAGGATCGGGCCAGTCTAGACGCTTTTTTTCCGGCTTTTCCCCAAGCCGGAAAAAAAGCGGCGGACATGTTTATTTAAATACGGGGGGGGGATTTCCCTATTCCCACTTTCAAAATTAGCATGCCCCTTCCGAAAAAGGGGCCAGTGTAGACGTAGCCCATGAGAGAAATACAGAGCCCTGTGTGACTTACCAAACTGGGTCATCTGGTCTGCTGAAAACCCCATGCAAGTGAAAGCAGTAGAAATTACAGCTTCTTTTGTCTGCACTGCTGAACGGTCCACTCCCGGGATGCTGGAGCAATTTTCACCTTCTTCTGAAGCATCAAAACAAGGTCTCGTGTGAAAACCAGTAGACGTTATCCCAAAAGAATCGATTCCGTGTGTGTGAAGTTGGCACTGGCAAATTTCACACCTGTCCCTGTCGGGGTTACAGGAGTGAGAACCAAGAGACATCTGCTTGAGTTATATTATTTACATACATTTACAGAGCGGCCACCACCATGCCGGCCCTAGATAGAGACAGCAAACAATACTGGCTGCATTCTGCAGAGACAAAGCACAGCCCTTCCTTTACAGAAGATAGAGCCCAGGCTGTCAATGGCCAAAGCAAAACCAGACAAGGTGACTCAAGTTGAGTTTTATTATAACAGAATGCAACGGGCTGTACAGTGCAACAGTTGGCAAGAAACATAAGTGGTGTTATTTACATCACCGAGTTTAGCAAATCCATGACAGGTAGCAAAGTTATATTCTGGAAAGAACCAGCAAGGAAACTCAAAAAGCAGTTTCTGTCTCTCATTTCTATGATTTAAAAAGCCAGGGATGCTTTTTGGAAAGCCCCTCTGTGTGAAGACACTGGAAGAGATTTCGCTAGCTGCATGCTGAGCACGTGCGGTCTGCTCCCCAATGAGGCATCTGTTCACAAAAACAACAGTTTTGTCAGTAGGATATAAAAATTCTGTGTATAATGGCAGTGATCATACAGGACTCCCTACCTGGCTCGCAACAGACGGCGAGCAGGTCCGCACTGGTAACTTCGACAAAGATGGGACAATTAATAACTAGACAAACAAATCAGTTCTTCTGGGCACCATCAGATTCCTACCTCTGCTCCATTTCATCCGTATTTAGAATGATCAGATTATTTGATCTTCATTATAAACACTGAAACCTCCTCAACTGGATGTCTAGTGTTCCGTTCACTATCCAACCACACTAGAAAGCAAAGGCATTAAGATGGAGCAATCCCCACAGAGATTAATATTTCACTGGCTCCTAGGCTAGAGAAGGATGGTTATCAGGGACTGTTAGCACAGGTTTCAGTATGGGTCTCGGTGGAAATGCAGTCTTCTTAAAATTTGATGTGCAGTAACTCAAATCTATTCTACAGAGATTGGCAGTTGAGAATAGTGCACGCATACTGGCTTCTAAGAAAATTCAGCAGGGGACAGATGGTGCAGTAAACGAAAAATCCTCTTGGACTGACAGAGTCCCTTAGTGGGCCTAGGTTTGGAGACATTAGCTGCAGATCCCACAAAAAAAATACAGTTCATTTGAAGTGATATGGAAATGTAAATCAAGGCTAGATTCATTAGGAACATGCAAGAAGTCAGCATGCTCTCTCCCCTGGGAGATGGAGGACCCAGACACACAGCATCAAAGAACACAAGATGCACCAATTCAGCCAGAAGTGCAGCATCCACACATTAAAATGTGCCTGGTTCTTTTAGGCTGAAGAGGGACAGCAAAATCTGAAATTCTTGCCTTCCCTGGCCTAAGATGTTATTTACTGAGCTATTTAAAGAGCTGTTGCTCATGCAGCCTAAACCAAAAAAGGTTTTACAAACCCTGGGATTAATAGGCATATTTTATAAACAATGGTACTGTAAAGCGTTTTCTCTTTTACATTTCAACATTTCCCTGTAGTGCAAGCCACAGTCAGTGCCTGGGAGCACGTGTACCCAGCAGGGCTAAAGTCGAATTAAGCTATGCAACTTCAGCTACCTCAATTCCGTAGCTGAAGTCGAAACAGCTTAATTTGGCTCTTGGCGCTGTCTACACAGTAGAAAGTGGAAGGAAGAACACTCTTCCTCCAACTTCCCTTTACTCCTCGTGAAATGCGGGTTACAGAAATCAGAGTAAGAAGCCCATTATTTCGAAATAACAGGCTTGCTGTGTAGACATGCACTCTGTTATTTCAAAATAACATGAGTTATTTCAAAATTGGTGTGCAGTGTAGACATAGCCTGACAGGCAAGAAGGGAGATGGCTATAGTTTAAATGCAGAAAAATAAAACAGAGAGAACATCTGCTTTCAATAGTCTGAGGTGTCACTCTTAATTAGTGGCTAATGTTGGGGTGGCAGCAGTTCAAACAGGCCCCTAAACAGCCAGCAAATTTATTTATACTGCCCCCACGCCTGGGGTGTAGGAATGGCTCAATCTTTAGTATCCTCACGTCACCTCTGTGAGGCAGGGAAGTGCTATTATTCCCATTTCACAGGTGAACACTGAGGCGCAGAGAGATTCAGCTCTCTGCTTTAAGTCTGTAGCAGAGCAGGGAATTCAACCTAGATCAGCTAGGCAAGCACCCTAATCCCTAAACCATCCTCCTTCTCATAATCAAGTGGAAACTTTTGGCTACTACCCATCTCAACTATGTGGAGGGAAATCACACCAACAGACGAAAAGTGAAGAGCTCCAATATCCTGAGCCATCAAGTCCCCTTTCGTCTGTGTCTTGGTTGAACCTCCTTAATCCAGCACATTCTGGTCCCGAAATATCTATGGTCATATCTATTTCAATCATGCCGGATGTCCACTTATCATGGGTATGACCAAGTTTTCTGAGGTCTCATAAAGTTTATTTACAGCCACTGGTCCGGGCTCTCAATGTTCTGTTATTTAGCTCTAATTTACTCCTAAATGTCCTCTAACTGTCCAATAAGCATTAGAAGTTCTGGTGATGCCGCTAGACTGACCTCCCGTAGTCCAGCAAATTCTCTGGTTCAGCAACAGTCTGGTCCCATGGTGCCAGACTAGAGAGGTTCAACCTGTACTAGACTGCCTTGCTCCTAGCCCTGTAAAGAGCAATGGCTGAATTCCCATCACACAACTCTCATAGGGATATTGCCAACTTGAAAATCCCCCATCTGTTTCAGAAAGGTCCCTTATTATTGTTACAAGCGACACTTAGGCAGGTGTTGGTCTTCCCAGTTTATTTCACTTGGTGCACAGTCAGTTTCAGAGGTTTCCTAGCTAGTCAGTTTCCCTGGTTTCTGCAAATCTTTTAAATAACCACAAGAAAGTCAAAAATTGTAAACACAGAAATAGGATTGCAAAACCACATGGATTGGCAGGGAGACTCCAGGGTAGGCAGAGGTGGGACCACAAACTGCTTTTAGCTCCTCTGATCTTCTCTTTTCAGTCGATTTATTTTCCTCGGGGTAAAAAAAAAAAAAAATGAATAAAAAGTTCAGGGAGCTGCAAGAGGGACAACAATGTCCTTTGAGAGTTACTCCATCATCTGAGCTAGAGACATTTAAAAACATCTATGGCAGCTAGAAATAAGGTTCTGTCCCCTACATGGCCATCTGATCTCCACCTCGGTGAGCTCTCCATGGCCACCAGAGCAGGCACTCACAGGAAGTGGAGCGAAGCATTTCAGTGCTGAGTGTTTGTGGGTAAGTTGAGAATCATCCTGAGCTGGTGGGGTCGCATCAGTGTGGCCACCCAGGCACTAAGGGCTTAATTCTGCACCGCCGAGAACTTTGCCATTGACTCTGATGGGGACAAAAGGGGGTCCGACGTGAGGGTGGGAAAGGAGGACAGGGAATGCATGAAACACTTCAAAGGTGCCTGGCCGCTTCCCCTGGCTAGCGGCGTCCATGCACCAACAACTGTTTGCAGCCAAAGTAGCCCATGTTGGTCACTGGCGAAGACAGCAGACAAGGCTGGCTGGATTCTTGGCTTGACCTGCTTTGAAAAGCCCGACGTACACTATTTGGCCTACATTGTGCTCATGGAATGGAGAGCTCAAGAGCCAGGCAGCATGTGCTGTGCAAGCTTCCTGCCTACTCTGCCAATGCATCTCCCTTTTGCCATGACTAGGCATCCACACAGCTCCGCGCCTCAATCCTGCCCCCATCAGTCCACCCCCAAGCCGCCCCAGAGGGAAGCCTGCCCATTGTGTTAAGTTCAGTGGCAGTCTCTGATGTGCACAGAATGGGGGGGAGGGACAAGACCCTCCCAATGAGTTTTCCCTGCTGATCCTAAGCAAGAAAGTAACCCCCTGGGCTTCTAGGCGAATGGCTGATGCATCAACCCTCGCCCAGAGCCACACCCCTCTTACTAAATCCCTGCAGGAAGCCAGCAGCACTGTGACCTTCCCGGAACACAGATGCCCAAAAGGGCCCACCCTTGCTACCTACAGCGCTCTCTAGCCTGGGAAGGTGAGCAGCCTGCAGCCGGTCTGTTGCCAATCTAGGCTGCTCCTGGGCACTGTCCTCTCCCACACCATGCCCAGGGGGTGGCTCACTCCGGTATGTAATCCCTGAAGGAGTTGAAGCTGAGGCTCCGGCCGCCCGAGTTCAGGGTGGAGTTGGCGTGCATCCTGGGAATCTTTTCCATCAGCTTCGACACAGCCCTCCTCTTGAAGGATCCCGGGGAGAAGTGCCCCTGTCTCATCAGCTCATTATACAGGGTGTGGAACACCACCACTGTCTCTTCATAGCTGTCCCTGGTGGAGATCTCGTAGAAAGGGTGCTTGAGGGCTTTGGAGAGGTTCTCGCCATCCTCAGCAGACACCATCCTGTCAAACTGCAGGTCCTTCTTGTTGCCCACAATCACCACAGGCGGCGGGTCGCTCCCGCTGCTCCGCTTGGGGCTGGAGTGGATGTGGTTGATGAGGAAGCACAGCCGCATGACCTCATCGAAGCTGCACCGGTCCGTCACGGAGTACACCACGGCAAAGCCGTCACCCCACTTGATCTTTTCCTCAATCTGCAAGGAGTCTTCCTCCTAGGGTGGGGAGAACAGAAATCTTAAACTTCGCCACACGCCAGCGCTCGCGGGAGCCTTTTCATGCACAGAGCGCAGAATGTTTTACCAGCCTCGGCCCACACCCTGCTCTTGCTCCCGCTGGAGTCCAGAGTAAAACTCTCAGCAGCGAAGGAACAAGCCTCTGGACCGGCCTGGCTCCTTTGAAGTCTATGGAGCTGCACCAATCTATGTCAGCTGAGGAAACAGAGAGAGCTAGAGGGGTTGCTTCACACACCACAGACAGGTGGTACACAACCGCCAATGACAATTCAGGACGGGAACCGGGTGCTACATCCAGATAAAACTGCAGATGTTCTGTAGGGAGGCAGAATGTGCTTATCCAAGCTGGGACTTGGGCCAGGCACTCACAGTAGCACCAAGTGCCACTGGCTCTTTAGTGACCACAGACAGGAGGACCACAGACCTTCCCCTCCTCGGGCCGAGACCCTGCGCAGTACAGCGCCCGTAAGTGCAGCGTGTTCATCGCAGGCTGACCATCTAACCACTGATCCAGTGTGACCCAGCTTACTTTATGACACACCTGGCTGCAGGCCACCGTGCAGTAATAATTAATTTAAAGGCACCAACGCCAGAAAGCCATTTGGCATCTTACCAGGAAATAACTAAACACGATCTCAACACAACATGCCTCTCGCAAACAACCCTCCGCTGCTGTTCACAAATGAAAGCGTCTCTGTGTGGCCCTGGTACCCGCCTTTCCTCTAGCTCCATCGCCTGGCTGTCCTTCAAGCTCTAGGCATGGCCTGTGTTTTCAGCCCCCTAGTCTAGCCACAAAACTGCTGCGATGGGGCTTGAGCCAAGCCCCCGGCGTCATTGGGAAGACACTCTCTGAGGTCTTGGAGCCACCTTCCTCACCCACTGCTCCGATCCCCTCACCTTTCTCCTCCCTAGCTCTTGCACTGGCTTCCTGTCTCTTGGCACACAGAATGCCAGGTCCTTGTCCTCCCTGCAAGGCCCTGCGTAATCTCACCCCTCCCCCTCCCACTTCGCTGCTATTTCCTCTTCCTCGCTGCATGCCTCCAAACTGCCGAATGTTGCTACATCCTGGGTCTCCTCCCACACTCTGCCTCCTCTTTCCTGAGTGCTTTGCACCTTACTCAGCGCTGGCCAGACACAGGGCCCCCTCTCTGCTCTGTCCTTTACCTCCACCTCTGCCAGGAACCTCCCCTGTGCTGCAGCGGGGCTGTTGGTTGGCAGGGACGGAGGCTTCTCGTCTGTCTTTTAAAGGGCAAAGTACATTTACAGAGTGCTGACAAAACCAGCAGCAATGCCCCGCAGGGCCAGGAGGTTGGGTTAAAGTGGCTCCCTTGGCTTGATTGAACCTGTGTAAGTAGGTCTGGATAAATGCAGACCGTTCGGTCTGTGAAAGCCAGACTCTGGTTGCCCAGAGTAGGGCTGTGTGTTCCTCAGCACAGTGGCCTGCTCCTCTCTTCATCTGTGGGTCTTGGATCTCCCCAGACACTGCAGATAAAATGGGACTGTATTGTACGCAGCAACGGGAGAGACAGAGCATCAATGGGCAGCAATGAATTAGGGTTGCTGAAAGCCCATGATGGGGTTCTGGTGAGGTCAGAAAGCACAAAAGCAAAGCTGGAGTCCCCTAGAGCAACCCTCTCCCCTGCCCCTGGATGGAGCCACAGGCTCACAGTTCAATATTCCATACCTGGCGGAGCAGTCGGGATCTCAGTCTAGCACAAATGCTGCTTTCAACACTTCTTCCACCAGTGCTGACTTCCTCCGCTGCTCCAACCACGTTTCCCCCCGTCCTCCCTGCCAGCCTGGTTTTCTGCTGCCAGGTGGCCTTTGCTGGAACTGCTTAAGTGACTGACCAGCAAGTGCCAACCCTAACTGGGTAAGCCTCGTAGCCCAGAGATGTGCACCGACTACCTCTTAGGCAACTGCAGCATATTCCTTGCTGCAATCCATGGGGCCAACCACAGCAAGGCAGGATGAAAAGGCAACGCTCCACCCTTGGGGCAGTTTTCTGAATAGCTTTTTTTTTTTTTTTTTTTTTTTACACTGATTGCCCATTAAAGTGGTGACCATGTCCGTACCTGTCCTGCGGTGTCGAGGATCTCAAAGTGCACCATCTCCCCGTCAATGACAGCCGTGTGTCTGTAAATCATTTCTGTGGGAAACAGAGAGGCATGAGAACTCCCCTGATCTCCACCCAGAGCACAGGGGAGATTCCACTCTGCGCCGTTAGGCAAAGAGCATGCTAACTGAAAAGGCACCAATCACACAGCTGGGGCACCGAGGCATTTCCTGCTCACCAGCCCACCCATGACACATTCTTGGTGCTCCCAAGGCTAATGGGGAGTTTGCCATTGACTTCAAAAGGGAGCAGGGTCAGGACCTCTCTTAAAGGAGACACAGTCAAAATGCAGCCTTCCCAGCTACAGAAAGCAAGACACAGAAGTTCACGGTGAACAGTGCAAAAAGCCACCATCTTTACTTCCACACATTGTCCTCATCTCGAATGCCTAAACCTCCCGAGTCTGGCATAAGCAGGTTCTGAAAAGTCTTATTTGTTCATCTTCACCAAAAGACGTTGTCCGAGAACTAAAAGGTGATGCCAGAGCATGCTGGGTCAGGGGAATGGATTTGCATAGCCTGGTCTTTCTTTTTATATATAGATCTGATGTGTTGCATGTGTTTTGGCAACACGTTCCTAGCTTCTTTTCCGATTTGTCAAAGAAATTTGTTTTAAAAACTGTTTGCTCCCTTCCAGCCCACCTTTGCTCCAAACCTCCTTGTCCCGTCCTGTGAGGAAGTCGAACAGCTAGATTTCTGTTGACACAGCTAATTCCGTGACAACCAGCTGTGATGCCACACAAGACAGTGATGCTGCTGCAGGATCAAGCAGCCTGGGCATGCAAGTGACAAAAGCTCTTACTCAACAAACAAAGGGATGTTCACTAACAGCTATGGGTGCACAGAAGCATCACATTCAAATCTCATTTCTTATGCTCCCCCAAAGCCCTGCCTATGTTAGAGAGGAATAGCAATTTGTTTCTATAATCGAATTGATTTAATTCTGTCTGAGTTTGTCGACACGGTAAGTGCTCCACAGCTGGAAGGTTCTGCCTTGTATCCGCAGTGGTACTATTTTGTATTGCTTGTGGCTGCTGCCTTCTCTGGGTATGGGTGCCAGAGATCCCGGCACTGCTCCCTGGTGAGCTGCATTCTGGGTAGTTTTTCTGCAGGGACTGGTGCAGCTTGGGATGGCACTGGGAGAGCTATCTGCCCTGAATTTTTTTCCATTTTCAGCAAAGGGAAAGTAGAAACATCCACGTGAAATTCCTGTGATGCTTTTAAGTCCTCTAGAGATGGATCCCACAAACGAGCCCCACGTGAGGCCCTGACCTCATATGCAAGGCCACTGAGCCAGGGACACAGACAAGGAAGTAAAGAAAAAACAAACAAACAAAATCCAAACCACACCAGCCTTTGCCTAGTTGGAAACATGAGGGTGGGGGAGACAGCAGCAATCAGTGGTTGAAGAACAAAAGGGACAGGAAGAGAATGAGGGCAACTTAATTGCCAACAAAGAGGGACTTAACAGCTACAAGAATCCTTTCAAACTATTCTAAAAATAATTTTATAGGGCCTGCCAGCCCTGCTGCTGCTCGTCCACCTCCTTTAGCTTGCCTACACTCTGGCACATATTACACACAAATAGGATAGGAGGAGATCTTGTTTTTTTTAAACAAGAGATAAAAGTTACACTGATGCTGGTATCTGTACTGTGTTTTCAATATAAAACAGAGTGGAATGCATAAAGTCTCACTAATATCTCCAGAAAATAAATCCCACAACATTCTGCTTAGCAACAATTTTGCAGAGAGAAAGATCCAGGATTTCTATTCTTCATTCTTTAGTAAATAGACACGTACGAAAACAGGATCTTTGCCCCTCCAGAGTGTCTCTCTTCTTGCTTTGGATTCCAAAAAACAGCATGGCTCAGTGGATGGAGCACAGAGTGGACTCAGGAACAAGTGTCATGGAAGCTTTTGGATACTTGGGACTTTGACTGGAGATTTAGGGGTCTACTTTTAGGCATCTAGTTTTAAAAATCTTGTCCTCAGATGCTATTCCTGCTTCTGCCATTGATCATTGGGATTCTTGCCTACATACCTTGCGACAAGGTATTATGGGCATTAATTAATGTCTGGCAAATCAAGGCTGTAGCACCAGGTATATTTACAGCACTGTATAAATATTTGGTAACACTACAGAGAGCATCTCCAAGTGAGGGATAAGCAGCAGGCACACAGGAACTCCCAGAGGAAAACTAATTTACTTTTGAACGTAATGTCTCTAGTCACAACAAACTGTAGGAAGCAAACTCAAGAAAATACAGGACAGACAGGGAATTAGCAGGGTTGTTTTATCTGAGTTTTCCGCTAGGGAGCAGCCATTTCTTCAATGAAAGCAGCAAGGCTGAGGAATTTCCAGCACACCCTTTGCCAACCACAAAACCCTGTGCTTGTACATGAAAACACTGTCCAGTGGATAACCTGGACTAGAGGAAATTATCTACATTTTCAGTGGCTAGTGGTTTTTGGACTGAAACACCAGTCAATGGGACTGATTTTCAGAAGGAGGGTGCTCAGACTGGACACACCCAGATACTAGGGCTCTGGAAATCTCTTGACCCTTTTGGTTCCATGCATCAAAAGCCTTTCTCCCCCCAAAATATCCTGAGACCAAGCTGCTTCCAGATTACTAAGTAAATATTTAATAGAGGAGATACTATACTTGTACAGCACCTGGCGTGATGGATTCCCGGAGCCCCACTATAGCAGAAATAATAAATACTTGCTTACCTAGAGTAGGGTCATAATCCCCAATGAATCTCTTGGTGATGAATCTCACAGTTAGAGCTGTGTCGGAGGAAAACAAAAGAAAAACAAAAAGCCCTGAATGTCAGTTGTGATTAGCAAAGTAAACTCAGTAAGACACTGATTAATTGAGACAGGAGGGATCTGATGAGTTTGCTCCTCACTGAAGTGAGGTCACCTTCCAATCCTGACCACAGGCTCATGACAGCGTGCTCTGCTGGGCTCAGCAAACGGAGGGGTTTGATCCCAACAATGTATACTAGTAACTCCGTTGAGAGCCGGTCAGGATCTCTGAAGAAGCTACTCCAAAGTGTAACCATGCGCATCAATAAACATGATGTAACAAACAGAAAACACTCTTCCCTGCATGAGACAATGCTGCTTTTTGAAAACCTATGGAGCAGGGGAGAGCATATAATGGCAGATTTGCCAAGACCGAGTTCCAGTACCCTAGGACTTTGAAGGCTGAACACTGCAAGGCTTACCGCAGCTAGACTGGAAAGGATCTGAAGGTAACTTTACCTTGACCAGCAAGCAGTTCTCTGCCCAAATCCAGAGTGGGGACTTGCAAGTGTGTGAACACAAGAGCAGAGACAGCTTAACTGGGCCTCTCTGTACCCTGCTTACCAGGGCAACTGACTAGAACTAAGAGTTAAGCTCAGCAGCTTCCAACAGTTGAAGTTCAGAGTGTTGCCAACAGTCTGTTCTCCCGATTGTTGGGTGAAAACTGGGCCGGCATTGCCCAAAGATATTTTTATACAGGAGCTCTTTACAAACCCAAATCTCTAGCAGCAGTCAGATTATCTTTTTAAAAGATATGCTCTAGCTCAGTCACATACTGTTAGGCGGGCCACGGGCATCCCTGGGCAGAATTCCATAGCTTGTGCAGTTCCAGAAGTCAGATTAATAGTCCTTTCTCGCCTTAAAACCTATTGGAAGTCTCTAACCATACAGTGGCAGAGATGGATTAAATTCTAACCTGACATGCATGTGGGGCAATCCTATTGATTTCAGTTGGAAATGTCTTTTAGGGGTGGATTTGGCCCATCTTGCCTCACAGTGCTTCTCTTAACCCTGTATTTGTGCACAAATATTTCCCTCGCACCCAAATGCAATATCAAGAGAAAACAAACCCGCGTCAATATACAGCAGTGCTGTGGCATTTGACAAGTTGCCTTTGCCTTAGGCTTTTGCTCCTTCAGCAATTTCACGTTTCCTACATCTATCCATTAGAGCATGGCACGTTTTAAAATAACGCTTCATTGCTAACCCAGAGGAGCTGCATTGATTTCAATGGAGACAGGTTTTCACCCACAGATTTTTTAAGACCAGAACAGAGCTATCTCGTTGACCTGTTGCCTAACACAGAATGTCACCCAAAACTGCTGGCCTGAATCCTACACTTTGTGATGGAACGAGAGGATAGAAGCCGTCAGCGACTACTCTGCTGAACACTCTAAAATCCAGGTCATCACAATTAAATAGGCTTTTCTGCATGGGTGATATTGGCAAACTGGGCTTCGTAGTCCCAATCCTGCTTGTGCTTAACTTGATGCAGTGTGACTTCAGTGGGGCTGGAGGTCAGCATGTGCATATGCCTTGGCAGGACACAGGGATCTGGATGTGTCACATCAGACTAAAGCAGTGGGTTTCAAACTTTTTTTTCTCATGACTCAGTTGAAGAAAATCACTAATGCCCACGACCCAACATACTTTGACTAGAGTGTGGGCTACATAGTGGGGCTGAAGATGAGAGTTTTGGAATGTAGGAGGGGGCTCTGGCTTTGGGGAGGGGCAGGAGTTTAGCTTGAACGACTCCCGGTCAGCAGTGCAGCGAGGGTGCTAAGGCAGCTTCCTGCCTCTACTATGCTGCACCCCAGAAGCAATCAGTAGCAGCTATAGCTCATGGCAGAAGCAGACCACGAAGCCCTGTGCACTCTCCCCCACCACTTAGGAGCTGGGTCTGTTGCCGGCTTCTTCTGGGGCACAGTGCAGTCTGCGGTCCCAGGACAGGCAAGTAGCTGCCTTAGTACCGCCACCGGTCACCTTGCAGCAACGAGAAAAAACCCAGTATTGGGTTGCGATCCGTAGGTTGAAAACCACTGGACCAGGTAACATAACTGTGCATGTCCCCTGCCTTTTCTGAGGGACTCTGATGAATTTCCATAAGAGCGTAAGAACGGCCGTACTGGGTCAGACCAAAGGTCCATCTAGCCCAGTATCCTGTCTGCCGACAGTGGCCAGCACCAAGTGCCCAAGAGAGGGTGGACCGAAGACAATGATCAAGCAATTTGTCTCCTGCCATCCCTCTCCAGCCTCTGACAAACAGAGGCCAAGGACACCATTTTATCCCCTGGCTAATAGCCTTTTATGGACCTAACCTCCATGAAATTATCTAGCTTCTCTTTAAACTCTATTATAGTCCTAGCCTTCACAGCCTCCTCTGGCAAGGAGTTCCACAGGTTGACTACACGCTGTGTAAAGAAGAACTTTCTTTTATTAGTTTTAAACTACTAGTTTATTAGTACTAGTTATTGAACCTTTCATTCTCAGGTTTAATCTATTAAACACAATTTGAATCATTCAACACAGCAAAGGCTCAGCACCACAACGTTTGTATTTTCTTAAAGAAATCTGAGGAGCTTGGCAAACGGGGGGGGGGGGGGGGGGGGGTTCTACTGATGCTCGGCAGTGTCCTTTTGAAATACTATGCACAACAAAATGACCATAAAGAATATTTACGTTTGGGAACATGAGGAGTGGAAGGTGGTGAGACAGAAGGGTCAATACAAGGAACAGCTTGAAATGTAACCCTGAACCGTTCTCCTTCCTCTTTTATTTGCTGTCACCTCTCCCATGCCACACGTAGGCTGCATTTACCTCTGGGAATGTGTCTCCCCAGCACAGGGAAGGGATGTTGTTTTAGCTCAACCCCACCCTAGGCTTTGGAGGCCAAGCTCCAGCCCAACCAGAACTACAAAACAGCATCTCCACAGCTAGCTTTCCAGCACTAGGCAGAGCCCCGCTGGGAACCTTGACACTGCTCACTTCAAAATGCCGTAGAGGTAGAGCCCTGAAAATCCGCCGATAGCCATTTCATATCCATGGGTATCCATATCCGCGGATCTGGATGCGGATATCTGTAGCTCATTTTTGCAAATATGGATATGGATACAAATGTTGTATCTAGAACCCTGAAAATTTGCAGCTCTCCACTTCATATCCATGGGTATCTGCATCTGGGGATGTCAGTGCAGATATCTGCAGCTCTTTTTTGCGGATACAGATGCGGATATGGGTTTGGTGTACAGGTGTCCCCTTGGCCAGGCTTCAGGGGGAGTTTGCTTTAGGCCTTCACAAATTACAGGAGGGTGGCTGTGAAAATGTCTTTTTTTCCCTTTTTGTATTTCCCAGTCAGGCAGTCCCGGAAGCAGGAACAGAGCTCAAATCATTCAGTCAAGAGCACTGGTGGGAACAGCCACAGAAGAGGAATGAATGCAATTAAACGGCTCTATCCAAGCATCCAATCTCCCTGCAATAGGGACAGTGGGATGGGAAGCACAAATTTTGTGTGTCCAATTTAATGCTCGACTAAACCGGGACAAAGCCTAATGCTGGAGCGGTGGACCCAACACTGCATATGCTCAGTGCTTAAGTGGCAACGAAAGAGGTGCTGGGGACTCAAGCAATTTTTTATATTTATAATTGACCCAGCAAGCAGAGAGGTGCCTGGCCATGAACGGCCAAGCCGAGCCCTGGCACACCGAACTCTGCGTATGCCCCTTTCTCCCTTCCCCTGCCATGGAAAAATACTGGCTTTTGTCGTCTCTTCCACATTCGCTCAGAGCAAGCCAGACAAACCCGCAAGCAACCTCTGAAAAGGAACCTCAAGGGAGGCTGCCCGAGGGAAATAAGTGGCTTTTTAAAGGTAAAGTACAGTGGGCTGGGAACGAAATAGATGTCTCCTCAGAGTTGGCTGCAATGGGGCAGATGTCCTAGACAAAAGCCCTCTCCAACGGTGGGGAGAACCAGATCCTTGCTCACCTGACTACATGGAGAAACTTAAAAAACAACAAATAGTCTTGCAGCCCCTTAGAGACTAACAAAATATGTAGATGGCATCATGAGTTTTTGCGGGCACAGTCCACTTCTTCAGATGGTGCTCAGCTGGCTACAGCCTGGGAGCATCCAGGAAGGAGGAAAGGCTCTTTGTAAAAAGTGAGCAATTGCAGGGCTGAAGTCCTGGAGATGCAAACTCTGCCTTTTGCCACAGAAGAGGGGCAGGGCTTGCAGCAAACTTCTCCACCCCAACCCACCAATATTCCTCCTTCCTGGCCTGGCAGAGCAAGCTGGAGGGGTGACAGCGCAGTTTGCTGCAGAGTCCAAAAGCTGACTAGACACAGAGACTCAATAGATGCCCATCGTCTCAGCATTTCCATTGCAAAGTTGATTCCTGTCTACTAGGAACTTGAGTGAGTGCATCAAACAGCCATCAGATGGCAATCACTCTTCCATGTGGTAAGCAAGTGCACATACATGCCTAGAATAAAAAGGGCTCTAACGGACAGCTAGACTACAGGACATTAGAAAAAAATGCCCATTTAGGGCAGGATTTTCAGAACCACTCGGCATTGGCCTAGGGTTGCTCCCACTGACTCCAAGGGAGATCTAGCTAGAGAGCTGTCACGCTGAATCTCTATTTCACTAGTCCCAGGATGCCTGATAAATGCAATGATGTTCACACACAGGTCCCTGACAATCTCAGGGGTCAGGAGAGGGGAACTGGTGTGCAGGTGGGAGGGAAGGAGTGTGTTGTCATTACTTCAAATGCAAGAGTTTTCAAGGCATCCCGTGCTAGACAGGGAAGCTTTAATGAGGGAAGACAAGGTGCTAGCAAGTCACAGATTGTGTTCCAAGTAACGCCCACATGTCAGGTTACCATAAACAAGAAAAATTAATACGCCCACCCTAACCGCAGCCAAGACTGAGTATCAAGGTAAAGAGCTAGCAGCTTTACTGAACGTCTCTAGCTGGGCTGACGG